TTTTTTTCTGTATAATTTTGAGTATTTGACTGACCAACACCGCGCGTTATACGCCGCGGTGCAAAGTCCAGCAAGTGCCGCACGGCCGACGACGTACCGCCGCTAATGATACCGTAGTATTCTTCCTGTTGTCAAAGTGGCAACGTCAATAAACCGATCTCCACTCACGCACCGTCGCCATCAACGCTGCTAACCTTTTGACGCCCGAGGATCACGCCGGACATCGCGTCGTCGACGCCAACGAAAGTGCCACGATATTATGCGAAGATTATATATTCTTACCATCGCCGCTAATATTAATATATATATACATATATATATTATTATTTATATATACGTATATGTTAATATTCATTTATATATCCCTACAGCCGACGCCGCTACCGCCATATATGCCTCGCGCCCCGCCCGCCAACAAAACACAGCTATACCTCGTGCATGATACGTTTACGTACTTAAGTCGCTTTACATGTATATATATATATATTTTAATTACTATTAAAACTTATATATTAATACGCTTTATTCTCATTAAGAGATATATAGGGTATTTATTCCGATTACAAAGGATGATTCCCGTATCGTCATTTTACGTCACTACCTCCACGTTGCGCGTCTGCTGCTTTCCTTGGATGTGGTAGCTGTTTCTCAGACTACCTCTCCGGAATCGAACCCTGATTCCCCTTTACCCGTTACAACCATGATATTGATAGTAACTACTAGAGTAACATGTAACTAAAAAGTGAAAAATAAATATAGTTTAAAAAAACTAAAAAACACGCTTTTAAAGAACATTGAACTAAAAAGTTAAAAATAATTTTTAAAATAAGCGTAAAACAATAATGAACGAAATGTACTAATATTATTGTGATAAAAGCGTGGGTGCTTTGTGCTATATTTTTCGTATATTGAGCGCCCGACGCTTTTATCACAATAATATTAGTACATTTCGTTCATTATTGTTTTACGCTTATTTTAAAAATTATTTTTGATTCAGTTGCTATACTGGATTATTAAGATTGATTGGTGGGGGAAAGTCGTGAATACTTGGTAAAATGAGGCTGATGTAAATTTTCCTCAGCGGTGAACACCATCGTGTGCCAGGTGGTTTTAAATGCGAAACGACATTTTACATCTAAATTAAATGGAATCGACAATATGTCGTTATTGTTCCTAATCTATGCTTACCCCACAAAAACAACAAACGAATTACGTTTATCACATCAATTATCAGTCAATGTATATAAGTATTATACGATTATAATTTTTCATCTTATAATTTATAAAAATTTTAAAGAATTAACATGTTACCTATTAATACAGATATCTCTAGCTATATACTAAAATCCTAAGCCCCTCGAAATAATTATCTACCTATTATCTTAAAAATAGGTATATTCTTTATTCAAATTTACTAAATTAAAAGTTTGCCTCACCACTTCCGAGACCCACTGCTTATGAGTACTTGTATATTTTGTAACTCTAGGACAATTATGTATGAATAATTTAACTATGGATTTATTATAAAAAAGAGAGATTAACTATTTCCTTGAAAATTAAATTGTAATTAATCATAAACTATTTAGTAGATAGAATATTTTTTTTTGAAAGATCAGCCCCATTCTTTTTAATATATTTATAGATTAATATTAAAATTGCAAAATATTTATAACTTTATTTTTTTTTTGTAAAAAAGGATAGAGTTAAATGGGTAATGACGCCCCCTCCTTCAATATAACTTTACTGTTTCACCATAGTATAAACATAAAAATTTATAACAACACAACAAACAGTAACTTTTTATATAAAAATATATTTTTTGATCTATTTTGGCAGATATTTACAAAATAAAAGTTTTTTCAACTTGTGTTTCTCATGTAACATAAGCTTTAATTTAACATATTTTTAAAGCCTAGAGTATTTTCAGAAAATTTTCAATAGTTAAGTTGAAAAAGTTAAATTTTTATGCAGGTATTGCTATTTTGACTCCCCCATGTTAGTTGGTAAAGGGACAGATTTTCAAACGATACATTCTTTCAAATGGTTGATTATTGTATTTAAATCCTATCTGATTTAACCTGTGCATTTAATCACGTATTTAAATCTTAGTAATAAACAGATTATTTTTAATGTGACATCTTTTTATCTCACATACTAACTTTAAATAGTAAAGGAACTCCTATTGTGTAATCTCTTCCATAAAATATTCAGTTATAGACTTTGATGAAATATATAGATAAATGTATGCTGTTTTTTGAGGAACAATGTGTTATTGTTGGCTCAAAACAGTAAATAAGAATAATATTCACTATTATAATAATAATTAATTTATATGTAGTATACTAAGTATCAAACAATGAAGTATAACCTTAAAATGAAGGGGTTTACAAAGAAATTTGAACATTCCTTTAAATTTTTTTGGATGTATGTTTTGTTTAAAATGGATTCAGTATCATATTATCTAAGTAAAAATAAATATAGGAAAAAACTAAATTATCTGTTTGTAAGCTAAGTGGCTTAAGTAAAATTCTATCAAAAATGTTCAAGTTTTGTTGATATAAAATAATTTTGCCCATTTTCATGTTTTTGCAAAAAATAAATAAATATTTAAAAGTGTTACTTATTAATACTAGCTTGCAAGAAATGAATATAATCTTCTTCTACATTTCTTTTTCACTTTAAATCCTTAGTGTATGCTTTAAATAATTAAAAAGTTAATTCCAAAGTAAAAAATGGTAACAGTATGGACGGTAGCCATTTTCACCATGAAGACAAAATAAAGTTCGAATTTTTTTTTTATATTGAAATACATTACATAAGCATACATTTAATTTAGGATAAAAGTGTCAGTATTTCCGGAATACTTTCAAAATTTAAGTTAAAAAAATTAATTTCTTGTAAAAAAGTTGTCATTTTTAATCTCCTCTTTTGGGCATGTGAAGGGTCAAGTAAAAATATATGACAAATGACAGGTAAATACCTAAAATATCTGTTAAAAAAGAAATTGTATTGATCCATACATTTTTTAAAAAGTTATGGCAGTTTTAAGTAAAAAAAACTTGAAAAAACTTGAAAAAATGTCGAAAATTACTGATTTTTAAATTTGTAATTTTCTTGGAGATTTCCCTCATTCATGGGGATTGAGGGAAATTTTTTCAATTTTTGAGGGTTATGTCTTTGACTAGATACAATTTGAGATCTTTTTGTGTATTCTTGAAAGAAACCAGTTCGATGAGAGTTGAAAAAAAGTGGTAATAAACACAAAAAAAAACACATCATAGTAAAATTAATACCTTCAGAGCTTCGCATCAAAGATAATAGATTATGTGACTTCAAAAGTAATTCTAACACAGTTAAACTTCAAATTATTTCAGTCATTCATTTTATATAATCCTCTAATTACACTTTTTTATTTACATAACATTTCATTATGATCTTTTTAATATTAATTTTTTTTTTAAATACAGATAACATATAAAATGTTGGCAAAAATGTTGAAGATTCATCCAAATAAATCAAAGGAGTAAGACTTTTTTTTAAGACCATTTAAATTTCAGAAAAAAGTATAATTATATTTTTATCATAAAATAAACAAGAATAACTTCTTATATTACTTATTTTATCTTTATAGTGTTTGAGTAGATTAAATTCTAAACTTAATATCCATTAATAAGTTAACTGTTGTTTCTTTGTTTGTTTTTTATTTTAACTTTTTTTTTGTAAATATTTTTATTCAAAACATAAATTATATAATATTACCAAGAAAAGTGATAGAAATACATTAATAATTTTCATAGAATAATAATAGTACTTATTTTTTTTGTTCAAATATTCTTACATTTATTAGTAGACTGTGGAAATTTATGTAAAAACATATGTCTGCATATTTTGTATGTTCTTAATATTTTGTATAAAACATATATTTATGTATGTATAATATGTGTACTTAGAAGGTAAGTAATAGGATCAAACCTTTCTATTGTTATAAATGACCCATGCGTTCACTATCGAATGGTTCCTAAAATCCATTGAGAACAAACCTTTTTATAATGTTCTAAATGGTTGTCCGTTTAATATCTTATAAGTTCCGAACGTGTTTATGAATGATGTTCTCCATATAAACCTATATAAAATAAAATCTGAACGTATACATTCGTTAACGGACGATTCTATTATGAATGTATTTGTAACATAAGCATGTTTTTATTTGTTACATTCATCTATCTTATTTAATGTTTTTCATATTTTTGCATATTTTTATTTGCAGTTAATAAATGAATTAGGTACTAAAAAAATGTTTTGATATTTATTAATTTTCTTAATGTAAGTGCAAAATTATTACTGCATAAACTTTTGCAGTCTACAAGACAGCAATATGGGTATTTTTATAATTTACTATTGTAATTTTTGTAAAGTAAAATAATTTTATTATTTAAACAATATTATGTTTAACAATTTCTATTTATTCTGACAAATAAATGATCAACAATTTATCATCAAATTTAAAAGAATTTTTATATTATACTAGAAATTGTTTGTAATTTTTAAACTAATGATATATATTTAGTTTTCTATTATAATATTTTTAGACATTAACAAAATTATAACATATTTTCTCATAATTAGGTTACTTAAAAACTATGTTCATAAAAAATCAACCAACAAAATCTATTCAGTAACTATTATCATTGGTGGTTTATTGAAAGAAAACAATAATTTCAATGTCCTACTTGTACATGCTGATCATGTTGAAACTATGCGACGTCAATTTAAAAATATTTCATTTGAACACATTTATAGTGTTCAACCAATTGGTCGACTAAAGGACATGAGTAATGATTTATTCTTGGTTGAAAAACCAGAAAATAGTATTTTGAACATCTCATCAAGTATAAGGAAGAATTTAAATTCTAAAATAATTCACAACACTTTAGTGGTAGAATCTTTTTTACAAGTAGACTCTTGTCGAGATAAAATGAGTCAATTAAAAGAAAATGAAGAAAAAAAAGATATACCTGTTGAAAATAAATCCAACATTTTAACGAATAAAGTAAATATTAGAATTGTGTTGAGTTTATAATTATATGTTACATATTATGTATATAATAAATATTTGCAGAAAGGCATAAATGATTTCTTTAATACAACCCAAGTAAGAAAGTCTAAATGTGAGAGCATAATAAGTAATAGTAAAGTTGAAACGAATAAAGTAATAATTGAACATTTTTATACTAAATTTTATTAATGTTATACAATTTTAAGTATATATATATTGTATTTTAGAGAAGTCCAACAGATTTTTTCACAAAGTTTAAAAATCCCAATGTTAAGAATGATAATAAAATATGCAAAGAAGAACCGGAGAAAAAAGAAAATTTAGAACTAAATATTGAATTAATTTCTACAGATATTGATGATAAAGAAGAACAAAAAATCCCATCAAAAAAAAATGTAAAGAAAAACTCTTGCCTAAAAAAAAAAAATGATAAAAAAGAAAGAAAACGTATTCAAACATTTGACAGTTCTGATGAAGATGAAAAAGATAGTGAAGAAGAAGGTATGTTTTTTTTAATTTTATATATTATAACTACTTGTCAAGATGAATGATTTCTAAATTTAACTATAAACAGGTGTCTCAGACATAAGTGATAATACTTATAACTTTTGATACAATTATCATTTTCTTAGAGCTTTTTTTTTTTATGTGGAATATCTTTTGTGGCGGGTTAGACTGGTTATTGGTGGGCGACTCTTTGCAATCAACTTAGATTTCCTCTTCTTGTCGTCTGAATCTATAGTGTATTATTTAGTGTTGATCATAAAAAAATTTTGTTTATATTTTATTTTAAATTAATATCTGTAACAATAAAAAATGGGTGACTGTGACACTGTTGACAGTATAGAATATAGTTTGCGTCTTGTAAAGAAAGAGAAATCAAACTATGTCATACAATCATGCAGTGACATCAATCCCTATATACATGTATTCTAATGCAATAAATGTATAATATGGATAGTATATTATTATTAGAGGGACATTATTATTCTAATGAATGTTCATAATTTTATGAAAAAGATACATTATAAGAAATCATCTATAAATAACCAAAATATTTTGGGGGTTGTTGTGTATTAATAAAAAAATTTAGTATAAAATTTGATAACGGGCACATTGCAAATAAGTGATTATCAAGAATAAATTAATTGTATTAGCTTGATGTGAAGCTGAGAAGGTATTAATTTTATCATGATGTGTTTATTTTTTTTTGTCTGTCACTACTTTTTCTTAGCTCTCACTGGACCGATTTCTTTCAACAATACGTCAAAAGATCACAAATCGTATCTAGTTGAAGACATTACCCTTAATAATTGAAAATTTTTCCCTCGTTCCCCGCAAATGGGGGAAATCTACAAAAAAATTACAAATTTAAAAATCGGTAAATTTTATAATTTTTTTTTTCACTTTTTTTTCTTAAAACTTCCATAACTTTTTCAAAAATCAACAAATCAATATAATTTTTTTTATTCTAAAACCTTAGATATTTCCCTTTCATTTGATATCATTTTTTTGAAAATTTAACATTTAACATGCTCATTGGGGCGATTGAAAATAGCAACTTTTTTACAAAAACTAACTTTTTCAACTTAATTTTTGAAAATGTTCCGGAAATACTGCGTCCTTTAAACATATATCAAATCAAAGGTTATATCATATACTATAAAATGAAAAAAAAAAATTTGTCCCGACGACCTATCTTTTATGCGTAAATGGCTACCGTATTCAAAAATATACTATTTTTGTATAAAAATTCTGGTTGTCGAACAGTTGTCAAATCGGTAACACCTGTGTTTTTCACGCTTAGAGTACGAGGTTCGAATCTGTCTGTTGCAAATTATATTTTTCATTTTTTTTGAGTTCAAATAAAATTTTTATGTCATTTAGATTCAATAACTTCAATAAATATAAAGGATCCTATCACTATAGTCTGCCCTCGTGAGTAGAAATTTATATTCATGTTAATATTATTTTACTATGTGGTTCTTTTTGTGGCTACGATTTATTTTGTCACCCCTCACTAGACCTAATTTTTTCAACGATACGTCAAATGATTACAATTCGTATTTAGTTTAAGTTATTATTCTTAAAAATCGAAAAAATATTCCTTATTCAAATAAAAAGTCACTTAACCAGCTTTTTCCATACAAACAATTAATATCATTAATTTCTAATATTGTTTAAGTATTCATTGTCGAATTAGATTTGATATGATAAAAGTATTCAACTACAAAAGTAAATAATTTTACTATGTAATTTATTAATTTTTTAACACTATTTGTGTGTGCTTCTACCAGTCTATAATATTCCAAATGTTTTAGTAACATGTTGCTATATAAATTATAAATTAAAAAAAAAAAATGATTTTTAATTTCACCTGAATTTAATGATGGATTTTTACAATTACAATCAAATTTTATAATACGCTCAATTGAGTAAATCTTTTTAACTTTTTTTTTATTGGTTTTTTTAGATATATAATCATTAAAATTAATTAAATTCTGAATATTTTCATTGTAGAATCTTTTTAAACGCCAAAAGTTAATTAGAAATTATTACTATGATTTTTATTTAAGTGTTCTATTACGATAAAAATATAAAAAAAATCTAATTTTTCTGATAAATCTACTGTAAATAGTAATTATAAAATTTCCTGATTGCATATTAATCTTAACAATTTTATTTATTTTTTTTTTTTATTAAAACTTCATATTAAAGGACAATAAAAAGTAGGTTCAAAATGATTACTTTTAACATATTAAAAATCAAAATCAAGAATAATTTGAAAACAATTCATTTTAAAAATTATATAATATATAATTAAAAAAATTACTAATCTGAGTATAATTAAGGAAATAGAAGTTGATGTTGCTTTTGTAATATCCATCAATATTTTAAAATGAAACATTGTGTACAGATTTGCATCGAGCTTTTCTTATGATAGTGATTTTAATCACTGTCAAATTAAATCTATACTGGACCCAACTATGCAACGTCTCCATTAAGCCGCAACCTTACTGTGCTGGGGGTTTTTTTTTTATAATTAATGTGTACAAAGCCAACACTTATGTGCAATGATATGAGTGCGTGTTTATTTTGTCATGAACATTTTTTCATAAAAGTATAATTTTTATAATTATATAAAATACTTTTAAAAATCACCTAGTCCTGTGGAATTAAATCTATGACTCCACGCAAGCTGTATGTTTTACTTATTCGGCAATAGTCTATTGTGCCCGATAAAAAAAATGGGCTATTTGAGTTAGTTTAAAGAAGTCATACTTTCTCTGCTTTGAAGGAAAACATTTAAAATAAATGTGATTAATTTAGCCTTCTCATTTTATAAGAATATTAATTTTTGTTTTAATAAACCATCCTTTTATGCATGTTTTATATACAAAATAGTTTCAATGTTTCACATCTGCTAAACTTCCCACAACAACTCATGTTTTTAAAAATAATTATTGCCTTCTAAGATCATATTTAAAACATATTTTTAGTCTTGATGCGAGTTTGAAAAGGTATTAATAAACTATGATGTGTTTAATTTCTCTGCTCTCTCCGTACTGATATATTTCAACAATATGTTAAAAATCACAAATCATATCTAGTACAAAAAATTGCCCTTAAAAATGAAAAAAATTCCCTCAGTCCAGATAAATAGGAGAAATTAATACAAAAAATTTTTGAAAATGTTCTTTAAATATGTCAAATTAAAATTTATGTTGCATACTATAAATCAAAAAAAAAAAATTTGTCTTGACACCTTACCATCTATGAGCAACTGGCCTCTGTAATTGAACAAAAAATTTAATTATAAGAATATGTTCTTAAAATGTATGTTAAATTAAATCTTATATTACTTAATGAAAGTTAAAAAATGATTGAACTATGGCGGTTTATAAACATGCTTTTTTTGTGTAAAAATCTTTGATTGTATATTTTAAACTTTATATTGTTATAACTTTTTGAAAAAATTGTATACAATTTTTTTTTATATTATATACATCTGACTTTCAAATTAATGTTGATGTAATCAAGATTATATTTTCTTTTTCCTCGCCTTAATCCCAACTACTTAGGGTCATCCAAGTATAATCAAGATTATATAAATGTTTAATTTAATAAACCTATAAAATGTTTAAATATTTTTAGATAATAAAAGATCTCAGCTTATTACCAATGATGAAGATTTTATTCAACCTACACCACCTCGTCCAACACCAAGAGAAAATAGAAAAAAAGAGAAGAAAGTTACTACAACCACTATAATAGATGATGATGGTTTTGTTTGTAAGTAATAAGATTTTATTTTTATTTTAAAAGTTTCTTAAAAAAATGATAGTTTCCTCATTATTGTTACTATTTTTGTATATTTACAATATTGAATGTAAATTTATTTATTGTTGTTTACTTACTGTAAGTTTTGCCTTTTATCTACTGTCTGTACAGCTTGTTGGGTTTATTTTTGAATATCTAGCACTATTTAAGTGTTAAGTAACTAAATGTATAAAAAATAAATAAATCTCATTAAACTAAAACAGATATAAACTTTAAAAAAATGTAAATATTCTTTTCCTTTTGGTTTCAAGACAAGTCCTATTTAATATCCCCAAATACTGTTTTATAAAAAACTAACATTCAAACCGTATTTTGTACAAAATATTGGAAATAAAATGAAATATTGGATGAACTGAAAGTCCTATTTATGTCCAAAAAAATGTTGACCTATTAGATTACAAGTCCAGTGTTGAAAATCATTTTTATTGCTTGGCTATAAATAATATACTATTCACTATATAACTAATAATACTATATAATATATAATATCATATTACTAACTATACTAATGTCATCCTTTACAAAATATATACAAACATTTTTTAGCTTCGATGCGAAAGATGTGTTTATTTTTTTTTTTTTTTT